TAAGACATGACTCAGTCCATGCATATATAAATCTGTTTAGCAATAACCCTAGCTGTGCTAAAGTTACCGTTTATCAAGAACTTTCTATGTGACAGACATATTATTAGGCTTTTACATATGTTTCTAATCCCCATAAGAACCCCATGAGGTAGATGGTGTCATCCCCATTTTGCAGATATTGAAACTGAGGCTTACCAGGAATGAAAAAAAAAAAAAAAACTTTCCCCGGCACCCAAACTAATAAGTACTTCAAAGAACCTAGAGGCAAACCTTGTCAATTAGACTCGAAAAGCTCAGCTCTTTCCAACATTCCCTGCAGCCTCTCATCAGTCACTGAGAAATCATATGAGCACTCTCAACTGGTCCAAAGTCTGTCTCCTTCTCATCACAGTAAGATACAGCACTTTATCAGCCAAAGGAGCAAATAGTCCTTATTAGGTTTTAAGAAAATTACTTGAAATAGTCACTGAATCTATTATTAAACTCTAAAACTATTCTCTTGAGGATGGTAATATTTGGAAATTACAACTTTAATGCTTCCAACATTCCCCTTGTGGCCTTGAAAAGTGGATATGTTTTCCAGAATGAGCCGAACCTCATTATAGCTTACCCCACTCCAACTCAAAGTCAGTGCTTCCTGGATGCAGCGTAATACACAGTGTCCATCACACGAGAGCAGAGGAGTCGTATGGCACATCCCAGCACGGGGAGTATGGTGACACCCTCCTGCGTCTGTGACTAGTGAGCAACTTAAGATCAGAAAGAAGCTAGTTAATTAGCAATAATATAATTGTGCGTGCTTTGAATGAAGAATCTGGTTTGGATCCTGTAGACTGACTATGGTTTAGTCCAAATAACTTTGCATGCTTCTTTGTTTCCTACTTATCTTTAGGTGATATGGTGAAGCACCAAGATAAAATTATGTATATTGGTCTACATTTTATACTACTATCCCTAAATATTTTCTCTGTGTGTGTGTAGAAGGTCATCATAGACTTTTGAAATTTGTTGGGGAGGAAGGAGGCAGTATGGCTCAGGTATCATCAGGAAGATGATATTACCTTTGAAAGTCTATTCTTATCTCCTCCCCCAGCATTCTCCCCTGGAGCCTAGCAACACAAAGCCTCAGAAGACATGGGAATGACTCTCTGGTGGTCTCCAAATCAGGCTAAAGAAATGCATTCCAGCTGTTTCATGGGCATAAGCAAGGGTCCTGTGCAGGATCAAATGATCTTTAGTCCCAGAATTCTTGGAGAATGAAAGATCCTTTAAACCCAGGCCTTACTGAGACTTGAGGAAGGAAAATAAGCCCAAATCAGAAAAGAACTTCAAGTCAGTGGGCCAATGCAGCAGGTCCACTGCCTTGTCAAGGGACAGCCTGGCTTAAGCCTCTTTTCATCACTCAGTCACTGGTCTCATCACCAATGTCCTTGTTTCTGTGATCACAGCACCCTGAACCGCCCCTCTGCCCCGCTTATCTCATTAGTGCCTTGCTGCTGGCCATGCACGGGGGTCATACTGCTGCTGGCAATGCAGTGTCACTCAGGCTCGACTCTACTTCTTATGAAGTGGCTGTCACCCATGGTGTCCTCATTCAGAGCTTTGGCCGCCCGCAGGTCCATAGCTGAGGTTCTACGCAGAGTGGGTATTAGGCTCCAGCAGGTTCTGAGAGCCGGAAGGGCACAAATGCTCCTTTCCTGATCCTCTGGGGTGCGCTGTGTCAGTATGGGATGCTAAGTGCAAACGACCGCGTGAGCAAGGGCCAGAGAGGACACCAGACTACTCTGCTCCACCCTTCCTCAGGCCACATAAGCCTTTCCACCTTGGACAAAATATTTTTGGCTTCCTGACACACTTTAAGATTAATGTTACACAGCGTGTTGTCAGTTTGCCAATGCAAAGTATTGGGAATACAAAATATTTATTCAAGCCCAAGGAGTAACAGTGGTATATTCACAACCTTCATGCCTTTACAGAATCCTGTTAGTATTCATTGGTTCATTCATTCAGTGATTCGAATGTTTATTCATTCAGCCAACATTGAACACTAATTCTAACCAGGTAGTTTCATGGAGAATAAGAAGGGAAAATATTGAATCATATCCTACTGTAATATATCCCAAAAAACTGCAAATTATCTATAATACAAAATATACTACTGTTAAGTAAAACTTTTCCCTATTAAGTTTGAAAAATCAAAGTAAAGCTGTCCTGTCATAGAAATCAATGATGAGGAATTAGCTAATTCATTCTGACACTTAAAAAAGTAGTCTGGCACTGAAGTCTTTGTAAATTCTGGGACATGTTGACATTTACACAGTAAATATGCTTTTATATGGCATCAGGTACAGTGTAGCAGGCTCATGGCAAATAACCATATCATGACTTCTAACGTAAAGAATAGAAGCTACCGAGTGGTCTTCTGTTGTTAAAATTCTTTATCCACGTAACTACCCATTACTGGTGAAGTTGTGGAATCTGTGGTTTTGGTGTATAATTGCATGGATTAAATAATGTTAATGTGTAATTACATGAAAATAAACCATGTAGCTTAGTTAAAGTGCAGTGCAATTGTTATCGCTGACTGTAAAGTGATACCAATTAAACCTCCCTTTAAAACACCACAAATTAAGATCTAACTACCGAAAAACTCTAGAATATAAACTCATGGTACACCGTAGGTAGACTATCCCTTAGTATTTTCAGAGGTTTAATGGTATTTGTAAAATTAAAAACACCTTTCTTCCTTATCACTGACATTAATTGTGCCTTTTTAAGGAAACTTCCAAACAGATGCAGATGAACTTCTTAAAAGACACGTATCAATAACTCCAGCAGTTGCCATGAAACAAACAGACAAATCATGACTTCTTATACTCATATTGAGTAAACAATTGATTTTAGTAGGGTGGATATTGGGGTGAAATTCAGGACAAGGAAAGACCTGACAGTAATACTAAACCTTATTATTAGATGAAACCTTATAATATTCTGTTGATGAAAATCAGCTCAATATTGGCAATTTTGTATCATTCAGCCTAATAAAATGATAGCAATCAAATATCACAATACTAAAAATAGGTTTTTCATATATCATTTCTCATATGTACTGAGTTGATCGTTTACCAGCTGGGTGACATTAGACAAGTTATTTAGCTTCTGAGCCTCAATTTTCTCATCTGGAAAATAGGGGTAATAATAGGTACACAAAGAATTAGTATAAGGATTAGATAAAGACAACATAGTCAAAGAACTCAATACAGTGCTTTATACACAATAGGGGTTAATAAAAATGCTTCTTTCTGACTCCTATTTCCCACTGGCTTAGATCTATTGACTCAAGATCTAAAATCAGAAAAGTGAGAATTTAATCAAACTTGTAATTTTAACACATATATTATTCAGACAAGAGATATATACTGTTAATAGGAGAATTTGGTAATGGATGGTTAAATTTTTAGAGCGGGTGATTTTTTTTAAATTTTTAGCAGAACTTAGATATTAAAATATACATATATATATATGTATCTCCAGGGAAGAATCAAACATTCCCTATATATACCCCCAAACTCTAACCCACACATGCCTCTACATGACCAGGTCTAAACTCCAGATGTTCCAAGTAGCTCTTCATTTAATCTTGTCTTTTAACAGCACCTAAACAAATATATCAAAACTTGTACAACATTTAGCAAGTGCAGCTTGAAGATTTTCTTTCTGTTAGACAAATAGGCGCCATCTGGAAAAAATAACCCCAAGCACTTGGACACAGAAACATGAAGCTTATTGGCTGAACTCCCAATGAATACCTTACACTACTTTCTTTGGCTCCTACCCTCTGCCTGCTCATTTCAAATCTTGCACACTTCAGCAGACACTGTGCTGTTAGACAAGGGAATCGTTGTTACCCACGCACCCAATCACGGTGAAGGCTGTCTTAATTTGAAAGATAGGCTTCCAAGAATTATCTGGACCCAAATTGTTTCCTCTCATATTATGACACCTGCTCTATAAAGGACTGCTAAATAGCATTGTGTATTGATATTAATGAGGAACAATGTTTTATTATTCAGTTCTTATATTTCTCAGTGTTTATTTACCACATTCCATTTTTAAACAGGAGTGTCTCCATATAATCTTCCTTCTTTCTTCCTTCCCTCCCTTCCTATTTTATCTAATGCTACTTTCTAAAAGAAAAAAGCCCCAGATACGTTAATGTTGCTTATTGTACTGATAGTGACTTTTAGTTCTGAATTAGTCTTATAATAATATTAGTATTATTTTGCCTTTCAAAATTAAGTGCGCTGAATTTAAATGACTGCAGTATTGCTTTTCAGCTTTTAGGGGAAAATCAGATAGCTATATGTTAATAATCAGAAATCAAGAAAGCCACTTGACTTTTATTTTGATAATGTAATCTTGGGGATAAAAATAGCTTTTCGTGACTTTTTTCCATATATCACACTTCCAATGCAACCACACAGCAGCATGCATAACTTCTTTATTATTTTTATTTTGTCAAAGGTTAGTATGCTGCTTTTCAAAACCCAAAAGCAATTGCCCCAGAGCTTCTGGAATTCATTTTATTACAGCCCATGATCTGAGCAGCGGGGGAGCCCTATGAAACATGTTTGATCAAACATTAATTTTATAAATTGCCTTCCTTCTTCACAATTCCGATGAAAAAGGTATTCAGCTAGATTAAAACTCTAGAAAATTTTAATGGGAACTTTGAAATCAGTTTGAGTTCAGCTTCTTGGAAAAAGAAACCCACCTAATGGAAGCATACTTTATACCAGAAGTGGATATGCCTTTGAGGCAATTTGCTTCCATGCATAATAGGGAAACTCCGGCAGGATACTCTGAGTGTTTGAAATGTCTTTGCTGAGTTCATAATGCTACTGATAATACTATCTGCAGGGCTCATACGTGTTTGTTCATGATGATGAAGGACATGGAGATGGTAATTTGCAACAATATCTCTCTCGTCTTTTTTGCAGTCCTACCCAGGTCCAAGCCTGGAGAGCGAAGACTTCAACATCCCACCCATCACTCCTCCTTCCCTCCCTGACCACTCGCTGGTGCACCTGAACGAAGTCGAGTCTGGCTACCACTCTCTGTGCCACCAAATGAACCACAATGGCCTGCTACCATTTCACCCGCAAAACATGGACCTACCTGAAATCACCGTCTCTAACATGCTGGGACAGGAGGGAACACTGCTCTCAAACTCCATCTCTGTGGTAAGGATCGACATTCCAGTTGGTGGTGGGAGTGGGGGACGTACGGAGGGCAGAGCCTAATTTAATGCAAGGAAATTTAAATGCTGAAAATAGAACTATGTTTTAAGCTATGGAAGATGTTCTCTATAAATCCTATAAAAGCAATTTTCCACTTCATATTTGTCAAGTCAAAATCGGTTAATTATTTGTTTATCACTGATGTTTATAACTAAAAGTACTAAGTACTATGTTGTCGCTGAATGTGCTGGCTTACTAGCGTTCAGATGAAAGTTTTCTTAAGAAAAGCCACCTCTCATCCTGTGCAGGACTCCTGCACAAGGAAGATCACCACATTTTCTGAATAGGAACTGCTATTATACTGGATTTTCACCCATTTTTCACTCTCAAATTACACAATTTTACATAACAGGAAAGCAAGAAAGCAATTTCCATTTTTATTTTGGAGGTACAATTTTGATGATCAAAATTTATCTCCATTAAAATGTTTCAGTCTATTGGACCTGTTGTTGTGCTGAAGCGTCTAACACTCGAAAGTTCTCAAATTTAGTGGTAATGTGTATCACACAGAAAACCAGCAAAAACTCAAATTCCCAGGCCCTACCCAACGAGTACTGGAGCCCTGGTGGTGCAGTGGTTAAGAGTTCGGCTGCTAACCAAAAGGTTGGCTGTTTGAATCCATCAGCCGCTCCTTGGAAACCCTATGGGGCAGTTCCACTCCATCCTGTAGGGTCGCTATGAGTTGGAATTGACTCGACGGTGGCGTTTTTTTTGTTTTGTTTTGTTTTGTTTTTTAATCCAATGAATCCAGGGGGTCTGTATTTTAACAAGCGCCCTGTACACTAGCTTTTTGTAAAAGCTATCTTTCTGATTTTTGTATCATCTAATTTTTAAGCATTGTTATCTATGCCTTAACTGGCCAAAGGCAGAGCATTGTGCCATTTCCTAAACCCTCCTCCCAGGCAAAAAGTGACTTTTAATTAGCCCTCTTTGGTGACTGTGTTCAATCACTTACCAGCCTGACTAATTCTACTGTTGATTCTGTAATTCACTGAACAGGGCTGTCATGTTCACAATGAACAAATTGATTAACTTGCTCATATTAAGTTATTTTTGCTAAAAAAAAAAAAAAATTTCATATGAATACTTTTCTAAATCATTTGGAGATATATATCTAACTTGAGACACTTCACAAAAAGGTTTTTCTGTTAATCATGAGTGTAATGGGAGGAATATAAGAGTAGAAAGAAACCTCAAAGTAGTTTCTTTGAAGAATGAAGACCAGAGCCTACTGTCCCAATACTGTGTAGATTCTCATAAGATGTAGCAGCACTCTGAGCTGCCAGTAATGTCAGAAAACCCATTCTTGTTGACCAGTTTAGTTTATAGTACACCTGTGTAGATTTGTCCTACCAAAAAACTGAAATCCGTTGCCATCAAGTCGATTCCAACTCGTGGCGATCGTATAGGACTGACTAGAACTGCCCCATAGGGTTTCCAAGGAGTGGCTAACCAGAAAACCAGACGCATTGCTGTCGAGTCAGTTCCAACTCACAGCGACCCTATAGGATAGAGTAGAACTGCCCCACAGAGTTTCCAAGGAGCAGCTGTTGGATTCAGACTGCCGGCCTTTTGGTTAACAGCCAACCTCTTAACCACTGTGCCACCAGGGCTCCAGCTTTGTCCTAAGAGTACCACATTTTTATGCAAATAAGTGCTATGCTAATTTTTTACAGCGACATGTAAAAAAATTAGCATAGCGGTGCGTATGAAAATATCACAAGGAAGAAGGGCGTGGTTGGCAAACAAACGTAGAAGAAAAACAACCAAACCCGTTGTCTTTGAAGGCGCATGTTATTTGCGTAAAAATATGGCATTAACTGTGACTTCATAAAGTAGGAAATGAGTTTTTTAATGTTGTTGTGTGCTATCGAGTCGATTCCAACTCATCATGACCCTATAGGACAGAGTAGAACTGCCCCATAGGGTTACCTAGGCTGTAATCTTTACAAGAGCAGATCACTAGGTCTTTTCTCCCACGGAGCCACTGGTGGATTCGGACTGCTGACCTTTTGGTTAGCAGCAGAGCACTTAACCATTGCGCCATCAGGGCCCTGTTGGATTTTTTAATAAATGTGCTAAACGTGTAAATCTGAATAATGTTGTTGTGATGCACTCACAGGTTGTCTCAGATTTCTAAATACTCAGAAGACCATTAGAAAAAGGGCATCAATCACTAATAGTGATTCCTCCATGAATATTATGTCCTTCTGATCAAAGCCTGAACATATAAGACTCAAAAGGGCCCTACTTTCTGCCCATCCCCCTGGCCAGATAGGATTAGTTAGGTGGGCTGGAAACTTCTGCTATGCATACTTCCACCTAGCACCATAGCCAAGGGACTCCAAGGATCATCCTCCAGCCATTTTTATACCCCAGAGCCTACATGAGATGGAACAGGATGTAAACTGTCCTGCCTTACCACACTAGGAGAGGTGTGGTCAGACACCTTGACGCCTACCCAGAAAGGTGTCTCTGTAACTCTGCTAACAATCATCAGGTCTCAGAGGGTGTGAGGCAGTAGTTTCTTCAAAGGCCTCTTCATGCCCCACTCCCTTCTTGGAGTATGTTGTCAAGGTGATGAGTTGAAGATTCCCAGCTCATTTGCCCTCCTTTAAGTATTGTCTGGCTGTTTTAGAAAAACAAAGAGCACCTTAATTGCTCAAGCTATTTTCAGAAACCAAAGACAAAAGGCCAAACCAAGTTCCTTCTCCCACAGTTGTGCTTCCAAGTGGTCACCTTGAAAAGTTACATGTCTATTCCTCCTTGAGACTAAGCCTTCAGACTCAGTTCATCAGCCAAATGAGCCACCTGGGTTCATGCCTTCATAGTCCCCCCTGCCCCAATTCTCTAAGAAGGAGAGGAAGAAAGAGGCAGTCTGCTGTGCTCCTTCCTCGTGGTAGGAATGGGTGGTGCTGGGCCTCAGAAACCATAACAAGATATTTAGCCATACAGTGCAAGTCTCAAATCTCTTTTTCCTTTATGTAATTCACCTCCTTTAGTATGAACCCACTGTGGGAGAAAAACCTGATGATCTGCTTCAGTAAAGATTACAGCCTAGAAAACCTATGGGGGCAGTTCTACTCTGTCACATGGGTCACTGTGAGTCAGAATCTACTCGACAGCACCCAACAGCAACAACAGAGTCACATTTTACACTCCTTAGTATTCCTAGGACCCTTGCCGTATACTATTCACTCTGTGAAATGTTTGTACAGCTTCAATAACCATGGGTGCAGGACTTCTCCAGACCTGCTGCCCATGGAAGTCACTCCGTCCTGACCCAGTCACAGCTGAGAGACAGGCCTCTTTCTAGGCTCTCCTCCCACAGTGCTTTCCTCTCCCCCATCAGCAGCACCTGCTCATCCAAATTTCTTCATGCTCTCTCCACCCAGCCCACTGCCAAAAATTCACTTGTGCTGTTTGTTTTTGCCTCGACATGGTATTTCCCTTGGCACTTTTAATAGTTTATAAAGGCAGAGGGAAGACAAAGCACCTTGTTGGCTTACGCTAAAGGAATGAAGCTCTAATTTAACATTCTAGTTTTGGCAAATGAGTCTAGCAGGGACTTTTCACAGGGTGGAGAGCCTGTGAGAGATAATGATTGTGATCCCATTACCTTCCAAACCACATTCTACAGGTGGCCTTCTACTTTGCCTACTCATAATGCTGGTCCTAGCATTTTATGCCGTGAACAAAAAGCTCCTCTAGCAAGTAATACTAGTCTTGGTGAGGCTATGAATAGTCTTCAGCACGGTGCAGTAGAACTTTCCGTGATGATGGAGCTATTCTATAATCTGCACTGTCTGATAACCATAAAAAAAGAAAACAAAGTTGCCATTGAGTCAATTCCCACTTATAATGGCTTTGTAGGACAGAGTGGAACTACCCTGTAAGATTTCCAAGGAGCAGCTGGTGGATTCAAACAGCTGACCTTTTGGTTAACAGTTAAACTCTTAACTACTGTGCCACCAGGGCTCCATGGTAGTCACTGGCTATTGAGCACTTTAAGAGTAGCTTGTGTAACTAAAGGACTAAATTTTTAATTTTAATTAATGTACATTTAAGTAGCCACATGTAGCTAGCGGCTGTTATATTAGACAGAACAGGTCTAGTTGATGCTGTTGATTTTGACATCCAGATCTATATTAAATTCATTTTTCCAAGTCAGTGTGGTCTTGCAGAAAGTAAATTCGGAGATAAAACTCGTTGTGAGAATCCTGTTGCATCTGGGTGGATTCCAGGGGCCAGAGTTTGAGATGCTCTAAAGTGCAACAGAAATCTAATAAAGTTGGAAGAACCAGGAGCTATCTTTTGTCTACTAATTCCTTTGAGAAACAAAGAGCCTCTTCAGTTCTTATTTTGAGCTGTTGTCTGACTAGAGTGCCACAGATCACTTTGTACATTTGGAATGCTTGCTACGGTCTGAATGTTTGCAAGGGCTCAAAGGAATGCTAGGACATGGTCACTGTCCTTTAGGAATGTATAAGCTACAGAGAAAACAGAAACAGGTACGAAGCAGAGAGAAGCACAAAGCCATTTTAAAGACAAAGAGAAATGCTAAGCTTAGCTGTACTGATCATGATCCCAGCAGGACTTCCAAGTTGAAAAAATGACTGTGATCTGGTTTGGTAGTTTATAAAACTTAGGGGAAATGTAGGACTGCAGTCCAGGCTTGAAAGACGATTTTGATTTGGATCAATAGAAAGGAAAGAAAAGACGTGTGTTGGAACACATTAGAAAATCAGGTTGGATATTTTAAGCTGACTAAAGGCTTCCAAAAACAATCAAAGGAGTATGGGCTTGGTATGACAGATTATACAAAACCATTGGTGGTTTTTACTCAAGGCAAGAGCATTATGAAAGCAATGTTGTGGGAAAGCTATGCTAGCAGTAGTACCCTAGATGGATAGCAGTGGAAAGAAACTAGAGTAGTGGGAAAC